GTCTCGGTGATGGTAGAGTTCCTAGACAATGTGAGTCGTGGGCTTGTTGGGTATGATGATGAAACCCACCTGGGCGAGCCCCAGGAGCTTGGTGTTCAGGCGTCCTGAAGCTGCAATTTCTTCTGCCTCGTGACAGAGACAGCTCCATCGACTTCCGATCGCTTTCAGATGGCAGTCATCGTTCCAGATGCCTTCGAGACTGATTTGACGAAAGGATTGTAGTATTTCGCGAGTGATCGTTCTGGACCCACTGACTGCAGATTGCTCGGTGATAAGCGTTAGTAACGGGGTGGCAATTTGGAAATAGCGCCCGTTCGGAAGCTCTGAGCCTCGGCAATAACGCCTGTAGCGGGTCTCGAGAACCGAGAACTGACAGATGATGTCGTTCGCAGGATTTGACAGTAGGTCTCTGACCGACGTGGTAATAGGCGATGCATCAAGTGTCAAGGCCCGGTACGGACTGCCACTTTTGGCGTAGGTGAGACCATGCAGGAGACTGGCGTAAAGGAAACGATCGTGGGTTCGAACAGCCTAGTATATTTAGTCTGGGTGGGCCGGAAGCAGAGTGCGTGTTCATACCGATTCGACAGAATCGTACTTGGCAATCTCGTCAGGAATATGGCGGAGGAAACAAAACAGTGAATATGCCAGTCTGCTGTAATATAGTCTGAAAAGCTTCATCTTGGTCGACGGAATATCCAGCACGTCATCAGCCCAATCCCGAAGACCCAGACCTTTGAACATGCTCCAGCTGTCCCGCAGGAGCTGCATGGTGACTGCCCCTGTATCTTCATGCTTTGCGAAGATGTTCCAGGATACTGGGCTATCCGTGAGTGGTTCCTTTCTGGAATGCTGGGCTGCAGGAAAGTCGTTGGTGTCACTCAATACGTCTGCCTCCTCAAATTGCCGGGTAAACTCCACATCCACCATTGGCCATGATACTTCAAATGCTGAGTGCCGTATAGCCGGCACTTGGGGCGTCTGGTCGTCCATTGGTAATGGGGATAGGGGGCTTCCGGGAAAAGCAGCAGCTGACTCGTTTGCTTAGGGAGAAAGGGGGGACTACTCAAAGTTGTAGATGCAGAGTGAGTGGAACCAACAGCGCCTTGATATTGATGAACCGCAAAAGGTACAGTAGCGATTTTTGCAGAGGATTGGCAATTATCAAGGTGCTGTCAAATTTTAAGGGCAAGCCATTCGAGATCTGGACAAATACGAGACGCAGTCGACCAAGGAAATGTATGCTCAACTCTCAACATTTATGAGCCGCAGTCTTTGAAGCCAGATTCTGCTCAGCGCTTCCGTGTGGTTGAACTGTATCTGTGCAGCTCTGCTCCGAATTGATTGATGCTGTTTTACCAGAATATATTTACTGCGCTCCCTATTAACACACGACCAGCACGGATAATTCGGCTCAAGACCTCACATAAAAACGGATTTAAATTGATCGACGTATGCTAAGCGTCCATCAACATAATACTGGGTACGGTATGCTTAGTTCCACTGAAACAACAATCAAGACCAGCAACAACCAAATGCCGCTTCAGTCCCTTTAAAGAGATTCACCCAAAGTAGAGATGCATGCATCTAACCACCACTCGTATTTCCGCTAATCCATATCATAGACTGGTACTATAAATCTTGTCTCGCAATATTGTAACTATCCACTGCCCATCTTGATTTTCTTAGAAAAGGCAGCAAACACCATTCAATCCGTCGGTCCTAAATAATTACCTGTGGCCACCAGGTCCTGATAACCCTCGAGTGCTTTGGAAGCTTGTGGCAAGGTAACGTTTGCAAGGAGTCTAGCAGTGATGCAAATTGTATCCCTTCACCGACTTCCGCGACGAGCCATTCATTCGCTCAGGGACCAACATGTCAAAATGAACCGGCAGCCAAAACGCAAACTTAATCCTCGGAATATTCTACGTTTTGGCAGGAGGCCAGCACGTGAGCTACTTCACAAGGTAGCCAGGGGAGGAATTTGCTCAATTGCAGCGCAAGTTCAAGCTGCAGATCAAGGGGCGATAACAATTGCTCGAAGAGCAATAAAATCCTCTCTTACGGAGTGTATTCAACAATTGCAACTTCACCTCGCTGGCCAGAATGACCAATCGATGCACATTACCCAAGAACAAGTACTCGGAAGAATTGCACAGCGGTTCCCCAAGTACAAATCGGTGATACGTGCAATTCCGGCGGTTGCGGAGTGTATCCCGGAAGATTTGAGACAAAACCTTGTTATCAGAGCGCAATCCAAGCCATTCCAATTAGCTTTGGTATTGTTAAACTCTTGGGTAAAATAATATTGGGGTCGTCTCTCATGTTGGTCATTGAAGATTCTTCCTAGCATTGGCCATCCCGGAGATCGCCGTTGAAACCCATAGCGTCAGGGCCTACAGATATGACTTGGCACAATGTCAGTAATGCACATTGATTTGGTTTACGACAGAAAACCTATGGCGGAGCGACGTGCTCGTTGAATCAACTAGTTCTTAGTGATAAAAAGCTCCAAGGTCAATAGAGTACATGGTCAATAGAGTACACAACCTAGCATTCTTCGGTGTATGTCTCCTTAAACACCATTTCCCACAAGACCTTCTAGCAGCGTACTTGTAATGTTGACCGGTAAAAGCGGCCCCCAGAGCAGTTGTATACACCGTCTTATTTGCCCAATAATCTCGATATCAAGGTGACCTAGATATGGGATTCATCCAAGAGTATGAGCATTCGTTGGTTCTTTTATGTCCCTTTGCGTACAGGTTTCCCAGTGAGACTACTCTTCCAAGCAACTCTTGTCGACAGAGTCTATCGCAGCCGCAAACCGATAGTCTACGCTTGGTCAGCCCACAGTGTGGATATATTCGGGCTCGATTGTTGTTCACCTGTCCAAAGCTCCACTTTGTTCATTGATTCAGCGAATTGTTCAAAGACGGTTTTCACCCTCGGATCTGCCTCTCTCCTTGCCAGTGTCCTTTTTCCAACCTGATCGTGCAAACATTTGGCTTGGTGAAAAGCCTTGGTGAGCTCCTGGCGAGCTCGTATGGCGCTTTTGGCTGAGTTCCAGTGCGCGGTCTTCAACACCGCTTTGGAAAATCGCCAGTCCTCTCTCAGCTTCTTGAAAGTGGACCATGACTTGAAAACCCACCAAAAGCCAAGCGCGCTTACCCAGTCTGTGACAATTTAGATAAGAACGCACCTGACAGGGACAGGATCGACGAACCGTGCCTAGTGTAAGGGGGTGGGTCGATGAGACATTCAGCGACATGAGACATGATGCTTCCTACTCAGGTCTTATGTCAGAGCCCGTAACGTAAGATTTCGTACAATTCTCCTTACTGAGCGACCTTCACGGAGCGACCTTGTTGACAAGGAGCACGGATTAGACCTGGTGGTTTTCGCGGTGACTCTGGGAGCCAAATTAGCGCTTCGCTACGCTTAGAGAACAGGTGGAGGGGCGAAGATTTATTGAAATTTGGGCCTAATCATACCCCCATAGAAGCTTTAGTCTTACACGTATCCCGTGGCTTCTTGACGGCTGATCTTGGCCCTTCTCTTTCACTGTTCCATGAGTCTCTACACATGGAAGAGTTTTGTGAGGATCCGAGGATCAATGGGAGCAATATAGGGAGCATTTTAAATCGACAATTCTGCCATTGGGACTGGCGTTGCTTCTCCATCGCTGAGAATCCAAGTCCACCCGTGACATTGAAATATTTTATCGAACGGTGTTTTGATAATACCATACTATGGTTTCTGTACCAAATCCTTCTCCGAGGCTAGTCTTGGCTAGTATATCAACTTCATACCGTTGGCTAGTTTCTGAGAAGGCATCACAGACACTACAAGCAAACTCTGCGCAGCTCTCGTACACTCATCTAAGCTCTAGATTTGTATCTGATCAGGTAACTCTTGTCGCGGCTGATACGACTGCTCCGAAAATCTCTTTTCGGAACGGCAGTTAACGCAAACCAAGATATGTGTGAACACGCGTGAGACCGAAGGGACGCCTTCCGACAATCCTCTTGGTAATGCGTCCCCGGTAGACAGTGGGTCCAACATAACTCCACCAACGGCATCGCCAGAAAGTCTGCCGAGTGCAACAGAGTTCAACGACACCCAAAACCAGCCATCTCCTGAGACAAGCCATTCAGGTCCTACTTCCCTCGGCCCAACGTCTTCTACCGATTCTCCGACCCAAAGTGTAATAACAGTCAATATATATTCAAGTTCCACGAGCAATCAGAAATTACTGGATTCTCTACTTGACAGTCTTACTGATTTAACAATCTCTTTCAAGCAAGTCGACCTTGGTATCGAGCGTTTTCCATTGAAAACTACAGAAAGCAATAACTCTCCGAGTGGCGCCAGTAATGACGACTTGGAACACACTGAAATTGTTCAGGCTTCGCTCATCCGCACGTCTGGCGAAGGCCGTATGCAACCTAGCCACTTCTCTCACACGCAGATGGAAAGTCAGAATGCCCGGCAGGGGGAAACAACACAGGGGGAAACAACACAGGGCGCCTATGGCCCGCAATCATCTTCATCTACGATACTTGCTGACATCACCGCCCCTTCATCTTCAACAACGGCAGATTCTGTTTTCTCGAGCCCCACCAGCGGTACTAGTTTAGATGGGAGCGGGGTATCGCGAAGGCCCTCGAAGCAAAGCCTTGGGGCCATTTTTGGCAGCATTTTAGGAGCAAGCATCTTTGCCGGTTGCATTGTGGTTTTGCACAGGCTATGTTATCGGAGCTTCCGAAACACGGGAGTCCAAAGGCATCCCATCCATAGCCCACATCACCGTGGCCAAGAAAAGAGACGTTCAGAAGTAGTTCATCCTGAGATATCACGTTTCTCCAAGGATTCCTAACATGTATACAGTACCAGAATACGAATTTACAAGTGTCTGGCACTTAACAAATCGTCTCAGAGACCCCAGCTGACCATGAAACGAAGGATCGTGATACCGATGAAAGAGTATTCCTTCTCGTTTCTCAAAAACCGTTGTAGTCAAAAGTCCCTGCTGGAGCATCCAGAACGAGCCCGATCGCTGTCTGAACCAAGGTTCTCACTACGTCGGCCATCTCTTCCCTGCTAGTTGCTTGCCCACCCATTATATACCCAAGCGAATGGACCGGGTGAATAGGACATCCTTGGCAATAAACGGCGCGCAATGTCGAGAATGGAAAGTTAATGTAAAGAGGATAACATTCCAGGTAAGGGATTGTTCTATCTTCTTGGCGTAATAGATAGCCCTCCTCATCCGGAGAAAAGTAGAAGTGAAACTCATATTCATTCAGTTGTTCGAAAAATGCGTTAAGGGCGTCTCGATTGTATGGAAGCAAAATAACCCGCATGGTCTGGAAGATTATAATCTCGAATCTGAAGTGCGTAATCCGAACGGAATGCGACTGCTCCAAATGAGGGAAAGGGCCAACCAAGTTCGGGTTGGAGCTCGGCTGCAGGAGCTCAGGGTTCGCTGCCGTCCTAGGCGGGCGAACGGGAGACGGATGCACAATTTCGTGGGGTTCGGGTGCCAGGTTCAACGATCCAGATCCCGCAGTCACACGGGCATCGTATTCCCGTCCAGATCGGCTGCCATCCTGACTGGCAGTCTCCTGTGGCAGTAGATATCTGAAAAAGGCACTGAATATGGACTGTCGCACTGACACCGCACTGACACGTGTTCCGGTAGTGGGCTGTGAGAGCGACTCAAGAGAGAGCGCATAGCGGTCGGCCTCGATGGAGTCGGTGAAAGGCTTACCACATCGCCGTTCTAAATCTAGATCTTTGTCCTGCTCTGGGGGGAAATCGGATGGCACCGGTAACGGAATGTCGAGTGGGGCTGTCTCCGGGCTGTCGGCGGATACCGGAGAATGAATCCCGTAGGAACGGGCTAGCCTGAACAAGTGGAGCCGGAGTGAGGGAGCGATCCCTGCAAGGTGTATTTCATGGAGACCCAATTCTTGTGCGCGTTCGATATCCTCCATTTTCCGAGGCACGCGGCGATGATGATCCTTCTGCGTCGTCATCTCGAAAGCAAACTGGAGGCTAAAGCGCCAAAGATCCCAGAGCCCGGACCGAAACTGATTCCCAGGAATTGTTGACTGATCAGGCCTGGACCCACCCGAGTCTACAATGTATTGTTCCTCCAGAGCTTCGTCGATCGACCGCCCCGCTGTCAAGGGGTTACGGCAGAGTTGGCGCATTACGCTTTGCCCAACGTCGAGGAAGAGTATATCTTGGAAGAAGGTCTTCAGCGTCGGGATGGGGAGCTGGATCCGCTCCATTCTCTGCCAGATCGCATCGCGCTCCCGTTGGGAATCGATGTGTTTGAATAGCCTCGTTTGCTTCTGTTGGAGAAAGCTCAGGTCCCGCGCAGAGACTCCGGGCGCTCGGGACTGCAATAGGCGAACTGTTACCGCATCGATTTGGAAAAGAAGATTCACCTGTCCTCCTACCAAGTCATAGAAAACGCGTTCAATATATTTCAGGTAACAAATGATTGGCTAAGCACTTCTCAGATTAGTACCTTTCCACAGACGCTACAGGACTTGGGTAGGGTCGGGTGGCGTCACCTCGTTACATCTCATAGCTCTCAGCTTATGCAAGACGCCAATGCTCATGTCCGCCCAGAGGCCCTTTATGGGCAGAAGTGCATCGAACGCATCCGCCAGGGGTTGAGGAAGTGCGCGTAGGTAGTCGGCTTTTCGGCCGCCAGGCTCGCTCTGTAAGACCGCCCACCAAAAGTTCTCAGCGATGTGATTACGACGTCCGCCGGTCACGCCTTGATAGGCACGAATACTTTGGTAAATGCGCCCATCGGAGGGAAACCGTTCCTTGTGGAAATTTTCTCGGAGGGAGCGAATGAGCTCCTCGTCGAGAGGTTCAGGGTGGCCTTAAGCTGTGTCAGCAGCCACGTCCAGTTGGGTTTACGTTTCGCGGTCAACAGACCTGAGGCAGTCACATACACATCCACTATCCACCACGGATTTTCTTCTCCTAGCTCCCGAAATCTCGCTCGGGCGGCCGTGATAAGACTCTCTTGATCCAGAGCTAGCAGTGTATAGTCCGGGCTTTTACGTAGTTGGCGAAGGCGAAGCGACTGGGCGGGACCCAGCGTTGATTGCTGGAGCCAGACTCGTCCAGCATCCCAGTCCGCCACATCGATCACAACGGGCACATGGAAAGCGTTGCTCAGACGGTAGCATCCTTGGGATCTCAAAGTCCGTTTCAGACGCACCACATTCTGCTGATCATCAATAAGTCGACCCGCATCACACCCAATGGATAGATCGGACAGCTGGACAAGCGCGACGCACTTGAAACAGGTCTTCTGATACGTAAAGAGCTTGTACTCATCACTCTCAATTTCACGTTGTTTCCTTGGTGTGATATTTGTACCTCGGGATCGTGGAAGTCTGTGTCTCCTGGTTCCTCGAGGCATTCTAACTTGGCTGCCGTGCTACGCCTAGAAGTCACGGCTATATCGAATCCTAAGGGCTTCATGTGCGGAATGCCCAGGCAATTTAATAAAAACAGCGATCGCTAGACACTGCGCTATTGTTAGTGCGCAGAAATTAGAGCTGTTCGAAGGTACTGTAGAAAAAGCCGTCATGAAAAATGTCAACACATCCGCTTTATGTGACGCCGCAGTGAATAGCGGGCCATTTTACACACACTCTCTCTCTGCACTGTCATTGCCCAAATAGGAACATGTAATCTGCACTCGCTATACATATTTCATGTTGCATAGGTATCCAGTTTCCACGTACGTGACCATGTCGCAGGAAGCTCGTGGACACCTAGATGGTGGTCGGACCGAGCCTGAACCTCAGCACACTTGGTCCGCTTCCGCGAACAGATACCGGCGGCAGGGTGTAACACGGGGTCTTGCCAGTGTTCCCAATGGTAGGCTCGAGATCGGCGGCCGTGGCAGCGGATACAACGCAAAATTTCGGTTGTTTGTGGGACCGTATTGGACAATGGGTTCTGGCCACGGCCTTCTCTTTCGGCATCTTCGTGGGACATGGACACATAACGCGATCTCCTGTATCTGGTAGAGCTCGTCTTATCAGAATATCAATCCCACATAATCTCTGCTGGGTACTTACCGGGCGCGAAGCCACAGTCTGGTTCCAGAAAGCCAATTCATAACCATTCCATTATCCAAGATTCTGCGTGGCAGGTGACCATTCGTACTTGACAATAACCTTCAATTGTGTCTGGGATGCTTGCTTTTTCCCATGAGGAGTCAGAAGTTTGAAGGGTGAGGGGGTGGGAAACAAAAGGCTAGAATAGAGATGGTGTATTTGAATCGACACGTTCTACAAACATGACGTCTGTTAATATTGTACCAGAGAATAATCAAAAATCCTGAGATCTTGTCTAAACCGAAATAGGAGCCGAACATGCACAGGCCAGCGGACTGCTGCGTGAACATTTGTTCAAACGTCCGGAGCCAGCATCCATACCCTCTAAGTTGTACAAGTGAGGGATTCCATAAGGAACAATAATAAACAGGAGGACGTGCTAAGTTTTGGGAAACGAGGGCGGGATCCTCTAGTATGTTATTCTCTATTGTTGAGGAAGGATTGAGCAGTTCTGATATACTCCTTCGTTGATGGCACACTACATACATGTCATAGCCACAGTTGATTCGTGGTTCTAGAAATTGCTGATGATGTTGTGGACAAAATACCCGGGATCAAGGAGAGAGGTCTCTGCAAGTTTCCCTTCCATGTGCTCGATTTCGCCTCCACGCTGCCGGTCTTGCCACGGCCATATCGCTAGTTGCAGCACAAACTGGTCGAGACTTGTACATCGGCATTGGCACCAGTTTGAAACCCAATGTAATAGAACATCGTAAACACGGAGCTGAAAACTGCTTAACGAGTCGGCGCACCATTCACTCGGTGAAATTGTGAACGGGAGATCGACTACTGTCTGACCCGAAAGCCGACTTGTGATAGACAGTCTTGTGTTGAGCCAACTCACTTCGCCGGGTAGTGTGGAGTGAAGGAAAGCAAACACATCCTCACTGCAGGTAAGTGGGGCAAATAGATCGGGTCCCCTCCATTCGACAAAGCAGCAATCCTCACAGCTAGAGAAGAGGAGACAATGTATAGTCAGGGGGAAGCTAGTTGGTCCGTAATATATTGGTGATGGCTGAAGTGATAGCCATGACAGAGATCGATCTAGCTCCTCGCAATTATCCCAAGCATCCGCAACTTGAGAGGGAATGGGAATCTCTGGAAGACCTAAAGGGAGATCTTCAGGCTCGATTGATGCTGTTGTCCCAAAGTTGCGCAGTCCTGGATCATTCCCTGAGATGGGTCAGCTGATTATTGTACGGCATTGTCATGAGCCGATTTTTACCTACAATTCTGCATGTTCCTTGGCAAGAAGCTGTCTGCTAGATGCATGGAATGGATGTATGTATGTTCTCCGGCCTGGCTGATCCTCTAGTTCGTAGAGCCATTCACGTATTTTACAGCCACGCGGTGTCGATTCAAATAAGGCAATACATCTTTTGTAGGCTTTCACCTAAGCCCCAAGGGAATAATGCTGCTGCAGGTCGGACCGCCCATCGCCATGGCTATAGACTCCCTCTTCCACAGGTACCGGATGGGCCATTCTTTCGCCCAATTACTCGAATATGCTCCGAAAAGAAAGTGCAGTCAACCAAAACCTACAACCATAATTCAACAGATGACCTTAATTACACTTGCCAAAAGAGTCTGAATTTTCAGTGTTCCGAGCCGAGTCTCTGGGGCGTTCAAATTTCGCCGCACCTTTCTTCAACCGTCATTCAAGCTACCTTTGTTCCAATATCTTCTGTGCAAATCGTATTCTATGCTTATACGGGCATTCTTTGACGCAGGTTCCTACCTGGAATTGGCTTTAGTGGGAAGGGTAGTACAAAGGAGTCGTAGCTTCCTTTGGTTAGAAGAGGACATCGGATTGCAGAAAACATGCTTGAGGATCTTCCGAACGAGCTCCTGGAAAATATTGCGGACTGGGTGTGTATATTCTTACGGAACTCGAGCACTTTGCTGACATCCCTCAGTTACCACCGCTTGCTCTTCGATCCCTGAGCCATGTCTCCTCGAAGCTTTACCATGCTCTGGTCCCTCGGGTTTACCGTGTGGCCGTGTTTCGTGCTACGAGTGAGTGGGCCTTAAATGGGCTTAACATCGATAATTTCTTCATCCAACACTCCAAAAGCACCGGCCACCTTCGACACACCCGCCATTTGGAAATCAACGCCCCGATCCATCTTGTTCGGTTCAATCGCTGTGCGGCATTTAACATCTTTCGGGTGGTCGGATTAGCCGCTGATCCTTTCTCGAGGATTGGGACACCCGACCACGCTAGGGCTCATCAGCAGTTCTTGGAGGACATTGAGGATCAACTTCACTTGGTCTTTGCTCATCTCCACCCTGGTCTCCTTCGATCCTTCACGTGCGTATCAGATCTTCCCGCACCATGGAACCCCATTCGCTGTGCTAATTGGCCACCAGGTGGCGCTTGGGCACATGCCTTCCAGCTGGTGTGTTGGATAGAGAGGGATATCTGATCCAACACCAGGAAAATCTGGCCCATCTTTCGTTGGTCACAGATGGCTCATGCCCCCATGCCGCGGGCCATCTAGATGGTCTATACCTATTGTCTTCCCTAGAGGCCATCGAATGGGAGGGTATCCAGCACTCGACTGAGATCGAGCTACTGCAAAAATGCATCCGTCGGAACCAAAGGCGCTTAAGAACGCTTTCGATAGGATTCAGCGCATCCGCTGGCAGACCGGATTTCTCCTGTCAAGTGCTTGGGCTGCAATGGTCCACGGTCGCCACCGCAACACTCTCGGCGGGCCCTGCTCCCACATTTTTGCCCTCTCTTACATGCCTGACACTCTCCAAGGCACATCTTCAGAAAAGCCCGGACCAGACCTCTTTGTTGACTTTTGCTGGGTTGAGATCCTTGAAGTTGCGTGACTGTATGAACTCCTGCGAGTGTTTAGAAGCGCTGTCTCACTTGCAGAATAAGCTACAGCTGCGGCTATTTGAGCTCTGTTGTGACAATCTGCCGCTTGACCCCAGCAAGGCAAATCTTGGTCCGGTTATTGCTTTCTTACTTTCCCTCCAAGGCTTGCAGCATCTCTATTTGAAACTTGCCAACTTTGCACATACCCACCAAATCGAACCCGTGATTCGGCATCACAGCCAGACCCTGCAGACCCTTGTGTATCACGAGAAGCAACTCGCTCCGGTAGATAATGAAAGACTGTGGTGGGATACTCGAGATTTCTGTCCGTCGTGGATATTCGATCGCGCCGAGTTGAGGCATCTCGATCGACTCTCTGCCTTAGCACTATGTACGAACACGCCTTCTGTGGTCAGTGGTTCACGCGAGAGGATATTCATTGAGAAAGAGAGGCCGCTAATCTCTTAACACAGCGAGCGAGCCTCGAGCCGGGTGCTAACGATTCCCATCTTCAGGTGCTTCATATTCGACTCACAGGCGTAGACCATCTCCATCGAGACATTCAATCGGAAGCCATTTCGCAGATTCGGACAGCGGATGACAGAGACGAGGGATGCCCGTGCGGTTGCTGGGGCGGGCTGTCAAGACGGAGCTCGCTCCCCGACCACGATCTTGACTTTGCGAGTCCCTGGGAAGAACAATCTGCCGAGTCTCCGGGAATAGGGCTATCGGACGGGTCAGGTGGGTCGGAGGCCATCACCACCGAGTCAGCTGAGATCAAAGAGGTCCTGGACTTTGCGGACTGGGCATTCGGGCCGAAAGGGTTACCCAGGCTAGAGGTTCTAGCATTCGGAGACTTTTCTTACGAGGAGCGATATCAGAAGCAACGGTTTCTGGCGCGTCGGAGACGCTCGGTGGGATTACGATCGCCTGATCAAAATCCAGAGACCCGTAAACACTACGGCTGGAATTTTTGCATTGGCGATATGAACGATCCATCTCTTTGGAGTAACGTAGGTTTGGACGGAAGTAAATTTCTTTCAGCCTGCCCCGACGGTGGTCCGATGGAGTCGCCCGACGAGTGGTGATCAGTGTCGGACAGCTGAGGGTGGGCTCCTGGCTTCCCCAATGCGCTGTTGACAACACAGGGACTGTCTGACTCTGACAGCTCCTCAATTGGGCAATTTTCCGCCGTGGTATTGCATACTTCCAATAGACTCGTTGCTGCTGCCGTACCGTGCCATTCGCCAGGAAATTAGTTAACTGTCGTCCTTATTGATTACTTTCATGTTCCTAATTCACCACCGAAACATCTTCCGAGGCAAGCTTTTTGCTTAGAGGTAGGCTGAGTTGGAAATCAGCTATGAGGACCTTGTTTTGTTGTCCACTCCGAACATTACCCTCGTTTCAAGAATAGACAGTCGCCGCCGCACCTGCTTGTCGTCGCAGGCTACATGGTAATGTGGCGCTCCGGATATATATATCTCTTTAGAAAAACAGACTGCGTTCGGGGAGCCGTGATTTCCGGCAGGGTATTCAGTTCTGATAGGACCTCTAACCCAAATTTGCAACTGTGGCCCATATACCCGAGAAAAGCACGCATTGAGTGCCACGAGGGACTGCCGTGGACTGGACCAGTTTGCTGGCAATGGAGCCGGTTGAACTCCAGTTGGACCCCGATTGAACCCCGATTGAACCCCGATTGAACCCCGATTGAACCCCAGTCGACACGTGACCATTCTAACCGTCTTTGAACGTAGTGAGCCGGTGCCACAAGGAGTTCGAGGTCAACACAACGCACCGATCAAGTAATGCGAGTCGAGACTATACCAAATTCGGGTTGTACTAATCTCCCTCCACTGGCGACCAGAGCGACAATATATACGAAAATTGCCGTGACGGTCGCCCTATAACTCCCTGACGCACTGGACAACCGCATATCGCATCAACGTCAGGAACAATCCTAAGATGCCATCGGCTTGGGATGCGCTCGGGGGCGTAGTCAGCTTAGCCAATCATGGCGGATCGCCTCTGTCTGTTCTGCCAAATTCCGATGTACTACGCGACGGAGTCGAGGAGATCTGCGGTTTTTTTGGCGGGATGCACCACCCCCGTCGGCTCGCCGTAGATGGTGCGCAGTCTTGATTTTCTTCAGGGAGGCCTGCACAATGGTTTGGTGGCCCAACCGACTGGCTGTATCCTGGTCGCTCTTGATCTGACATTTCCGCCGAGGAGAAATCTGCGCCATGGCGATGGAGAGAGGGTAGGTTAGGTTAGGTCTGGGAATCTTCTCAATTACTTGGAAATTTATATCTTCTTACTGGAGGTCTTCCCCTCCTACGGAGAAGAGTGTCCTCATTTTTGTCTATAAGCATGATCTTCTTGACGAGATAATCGTTCGAGGTTGTCACCGGACTGAGAAACCCCACGAAATATTAGGTCAGCGGAAAGGACCCCACACTAACGTGATTCCCGGCGGGTCCGTCATCCCTGCCGGTCCGTCACCCCATCAAAATTTCATATTTTTATATATTTTTAAACACCATCTACACCACCAAAATAGAAGTAAATTAGCAATTTAGATCTTCTGTAGACATGTAGTATATATATGCCCTATTCCTCCACATTTAGAACATTTGATTTGCCGACGAATAGGGGGTAAAACAGGAAGTGTAGGCTCAACCTAGGGTTCTAGAGTAGGTGTAGTATCAGATATATATCTTACACTACTGCCTTCCTTACTACTAGTATTAGTAGTAAGGTCAGGAACCTCTGTTAAACTACCTATATTAGATATTTGCTTCTTTGATTTTGCCCTTTTTTTTGTCTGCTTTCGGTTTCCCTCTCGTAAACGCTTGATTTCATCCCGCATTAAGACATGCTCGTGGACCAGTTTGACCGACATATTGTAAAATTGTTGAAGATCACGTTTTGTAGGCGAAGAGATCTTATTAGCAGCTGAGTTGAGACTAGAATTGAGTCTAGATTTACGTTTTTCTAGCTGCTTAGTCGTCCGAGGGATACCGGTAGAGATATTGCTACCTAATGTTGAGCCTTGTGATATTGGTCGATCTAGTAGAGGTGGAGATTGAAGACGAATATTAAGCTTTAATAACACCCGATCGGGGTCTAATGGTACTAAACTAGTAGCTGCGAAGGTACTTTAAATAATAGCCTCTTTGAATGAGTGATCACGAGCTGCTGGAAAGATATCAAGGAAGTCATCTTTTTCGATAGAATCGATGCCTAATCGGGTATATTCGGCAACCCGTGATCCATAAGAGCGCTTTAATACAGCAAAACAACCAACATCAAGAGGCTATAAAAGATGAGAGGTATGCGGAGGCATACAGATTGGTATAATGTTGTTTTCCTGGTAAATCTTATCGAATGTTGCTGTAAGATGACTGTTATGGCCGTCGAGGACTAAAAGATAATATTTCCCTTTTGTCTGACTCGTAGTATGTGGAATAAAATGCTTTTGGAGCCAATCAATGCTAATTTCATTACTCGTCCAGCCGTTTGAACTAACGTTAAGAGCCTAATGCTTTGGAAGGTCATCAAACTGTAATAACCTTCGTTGTCGCACTGATTCCTATCGCAAACCCTGATTCGTCAAAGTTGTAGATATCATCGGAAGTAATACCATATTGAGTAATCGTTCTTTCAACAAGCTTAAACCACTCAATAATAATATTTGGATCTTCCATCAAAGCACGTTTATAGTCATATTTGCGAGAGAATCGAGAAGAAAGCCCAGGATGGCGTTTGATATATTGTGATGGTCAATTTTTGCCAACGGTCTTAGGGGTATCATCTCCACGATGCTTAAGCAATAAATTGGCCATATCTTTCAACATAGCGATTGTAAGCGCAGCACCTCTCTGATCCATAGAGATTAACCAATCTTGAATTGATTCCTCTTCTAGTTGCGTGAATTTATAGCCTGTGCCCCTTGCTTCATAGAGATTAGGAGTGCCTTTCAACCGATTTGCAAGAGTTGTACGGGGGACATCAAAAGAGCGAGCAGCAGCAGCGATCGTAGTAATTCTGCCATTTTGAATAGCTTTCATAGCTAACAACATCCTGCCCTCCTGCTCAATTGATTTTTGGGCCTTTTGACTGCGTTTTGGGGGCATGGTAGGCGTTTAAAGATAGGTTGTTGGGTTGGGGCAGAAAATTGGAGGTGGGATGACGGACCGGCAGGGATGACGGACCCGCCGGGAATCACGTTATTTATTCTGCACTTTATAAAAAACGCACTCTCAAGTACTCAATTGGCTATGCCCGTACTAGTCCGTACTGTAACGACCACGTTCCGACATGAGACTCTCGCTGGTTACCTAAGATGCACTCGGTGCCGTAATTGCTTCTTGCACACTGAAGTGCAATGAGTCCTTTTTATGCCACCAGCGTCTGGGTAATCTCCTTACGCACACGGTTATTCAGATCATGGGCCACGTCTACCCAAGGCTAATTCTAGCTTCTCTTGGGTATTTGTGAATCAAACTGCGGAATTACACGACATCTGAGCAATATTTTAGATCTTTATCGGTTATTGGTAGACAAGAGATAGGAGATCATGAACTGCAATGCCCTGGTATTCCGGTTCGGTCGGATTATTACTGGCAACAGGGACGTTGTGCTAGGCTCGAGCTTACAGACCGTGGCAAAGGTAAAGGCCGTTGAAAGCCTTTTGTGCTGTGTAAGACGGCAATAACTACGAGCCAGTGAAAGACTGTTGGCCGCTGAATCACCTTGCAATAGAATGGGATAGGGGATAATACACTTACTCTTGAGTAGCCCGGGCAAAGTTCATGAACAGGCAACTAGCACGGTCGGCGAAAGTGGGGTTGCGTTACTTGCTCATCCGCATCAGTTGAGGATCTAGCTCTACAGAAGCTAAACATTGAGAATGCCACGCGAACTTTGTAATCTGACGAATACTTGAACGAAGATTGTCTTGGCGATTGTCCTAATAAACAGTATCTTGAACGAACAGCATCTTGGACGAACTAACACTACTTTAAACACTGATTTAGACACTATCTAAAACACTATTCTTGACGAAGATTGTCGTAAACGAAAACCCTTTTGAACGAACACTGCCTTAATGAACAATATAGCATAATTTCTTTCAGCATTCGGTTAACCTATCCAAATATATTTCTGATCAATGAATCATAGGAAGTAAATAACATGGTCAAAGAGAAGACAAAGCTTGGTTTATTAAATTAGAATGGCAGATTCGAACAAGCACGAAATGAACAAGTCCGAATGGACAGGTCCGAGATGAACAGGTCTGAGATGAACAGGTTTGAGATGAACAGGTCTGAGATGAACAGGTCTGAGATGAACAGGTTTGAGATGAAAAGGTTTGAGATGAACAGGTTTGAGATGAACAGGTCTGAGATGAACAGGTTTGAGATGAACAGGTTTGAGATGAACAGGTTTGAGATGAACAGGTCTGAGATGAACAGGTCTGAGATGAACAGGTCTGAGATGAACAGGTTTGAGATGAACAGGTCTGAGATGAACAGGTCTGAGATGAACAGGTTTGAGATGAACAGGTTTGGACAGTTTGAACAGTTTGAAGACTTGTTGAAAACTCAAGGTTGCGTGGTCTTATATTTTGCCTCTTCTAGTTGACATTAACTATTCTGTTGTTCCACGATCATTATTTTCGTTTTCGTGTATTCTATGCCATGGCAGAAAAGTCGTACAATTAAAGGCGGTGATGAACTACACAGTTACAGGAAACTGTCAAGTATAGTGGGCCACATTCTTACTAGTGCGCTTGGAGATATTCGGCTATCATGTATGCCTGATTTGTGCCTGTGTTTGTGAGGCTTAGTAAGCCCAAACCCCTTTTATTCTGCACCTACTATAGTATCAAGAATCACACTCTCATTTACTTTACTGTACTAGTCCGTACTGTCCCGCTCGAAAGTCGACAGAAACTTTAAACACTGTTGATAATTTTGGTTTCTGAACAATTGTTGCCGGTTCCACTGAGGGGGCAAAATTTCGTGTAAAAGTTGAAGACAGATCTTGGCTTCCTCAGCTTGTACTGAGTAATAGTCTCCAGCACCACGAAGAGGTATCTGTCAGTTACTGGAGGGCGGGCGCGGAACGTCTCATCACAGCCCGACCTGGTACTTGACCCAGGATTTGTGCAAGACCAGTGGTCCGCGTGTGGAACTGAATCCGACCTGGAGCAATTGCCCAGGATTTTTCACCTGGTACTTGATCCAGGATTTGTGCATGGCCAGAGGTCTGCGTGTGGAACTGAATCCGACCTGGAGCAATTGCCCAGGATTTCTTACCTGGTACTTGATCCAGGATTTGTGCATGACCAGAGGCCTGCGTGTGGAACTAAATCCGACCTCGAGCATTTGCTCAGGATTTTTCACCTGGTACTTGATCCAGGATTTGTGCAAGACCAGAGGCCTGCGTGTGGAACTGAATCCGACCTGAGCCGTAAAGGGCCATNNNCACCTGGTACTTGATCCAGGATTTGTGCAAGACCAGAGGCCTGCGTGTGGAACTGAATCCGACCTGAGCCGTAAAGGGCCATAGCTCAGGATTTTTCACCTGGTACTTGATCCAGGATTTGTGCATGACCAGAGGTCTGCGTGTGGAACTGAATCCGACCTGGAGCGTGGTCCAGGATTTGCACATGGACCGCAGCCTCGACCTTAGTGGGCTTGCAGGTGGGGAGGAAACTCTTTCAGCAGCGGACAACGTACCTTTTATGTTTTCTACCACGGAGTTCAGTAGATACCAAGCACGCAAATGCGGATATCAGACCCTAGTTGTGGCGCCTGGTCCGCACGCGAGATTGGCCGACCCGATTTACACGCCAGGCGGAAAATTGCGCCGACGGCGCTATTTCGCACCAGCACTTGCGCCATTTTGATCTACTAGCCTGCTGACTGTCGACCTGAGCCACAAACAGGTACTCTTGCGTCATTGGTGATGCGCAATGAAACAAGCCGCGGACAATTTGGATTGTTTGTTTCTCGCTCACTGAAATCAGGAACCACTGTCCTTTCTGCACACAGTAGCCGTTTTGGCTAAAACAGTGCGGCGACCCAGCTACTGATCGCTGAACATTGTAGCCAGCAGACATTTCGGAAGATTCTACAAAGCCAAAGACGCCAAGCTTCGAACAGAGTATTCTCCCGCTTTTAAAACCGTCCAAAACGTTCGTTGCACCAACACCAGTTAGGCGGCCTTGGCACAAATGACAAGATCGTTTCTGGGAGGATCAACGTGGGATCTAACCAGGTGTGGAGAGCAGAAAATAATATGGCAAAATAATAGGTACGGTATGACTTCCTTTCATATTCAACTGCCCAACTTGAAGACGGAGACCAACTTCGACAGCATGGTCGAGAAACCCAATCCGCGAGGGTCGAGACCTGGGGGTTCGAGCAATGAGACGAGAGAGAATGAAGAACGGGACGCCATGACGGATGGCGGAGGAGAGCAGATACTATCAATTGGCCTTGACCGGCTGGTTTCCATGCTGTCGATTCGACCATGAGTAGACCAAGGAGTGGGTCTTGGTTTCGTGCGGACGTATCACAACATCCTAAGGTAGATAAATGAACGAACGGGAAAGGATGCCTTGCTTTTTAAACGCGTGGAGGCAAAGCGGATCATTTTTCGATGTTCGAACTACTCTTGTGGCTAGCCCGTATCTCAGCGCTCCGTCAACTTCCCTCCACCTAGGCTGTACACAATCTACATAATGTACAGCGGCCCCAATTCTTGTCCATTTGGCCCCATGGTTACATTGGTTGGGAAGATGTTGGAAATTTTACTTTCTGTCGCAGTCCACATGATCCACGCGTTCAAGACGTTGACAGGGGTGCTGGTTATTCGGAAAGAGCACAGCTCGAGTCTCTAAGAGACCAACCCCGGTTTGCCTCGGATCAACATGCCTGGGCCCGCCAGTGATCAGGGGCCGGGGCCGAGTGGGGCCTCGGTGGCAAATTGTGGAAGTGGGTCGCCGTTTGCAAGAGCATATTAGAACATCGCAAGATAAACAGGCGAGGGAGGCTGGTCTCCTCTTGAACACTGGTAACCAAGCATAATCGGTTTTAGATGTTGGTGGCGTAGCGAAGTCTGCCGGGTTGATGGGCCCTCATAAGGAGGCCGCGTTCGACGTCGATTTTTTTGAGAGGGCTTCTAAGTCTCCATACCAAAGACAAGATCAATACCGAGGTAAGTTCCTCGATTCTTCAATTTTCCTAGTGACCTGTAACCTATAGTAGTTTTCACAGAAGCCGCGTTGTTTGCAGAATTGCTGGCCCCTCTTTAAAGCCATTCCCTTCGATACCTGTGCTTGTCACAGGCAACCCTCAGTGTTCGTAGGTTTCACGATACGATTGCAGTTTGCAAGGCAAACAATGAAGTGCGCAAGAAGACTTGAGCGGGCCCGGAGCTATGTAGTGGCTGCACCGAGCCAGCCACAGGCGGCAGTATTTTTGCGGGGTCTACGAAGGGAGAGAAGACGACTTCTACGACAGCTCAAGCAGATTCGCGTGCAAGTCGGGATCGCAGAAACGGAGTGCAGAGTTTTACGCCAACAAGCCATCAAAGTCATGGTCCTCAGTATTTTTCTTGAATCTCTGACTCAGAAATCCACCACTGCGACCGATGGTGTCTCTTGAGACCGTCGTTCTGTTGGGGAGCGTTTGAGATCATGCAAAATCTGTTTATGGAGCGTCTATGATCCTTATCAGAAACTCTCAGCCTATACAGTAGCAATATCGACAGCGATTGGACTTTTGATAGTCCTACCACTTCTAGAAACTACTTTGTAAATTACAGTCAATACGAAAAGAATTTGATACAGTAACAGAAGAACTTTGGTTGGTGTGTGATTGCCGGTATGGTCATCAGTGGTCCAGCCACTCTCTGTTGGAACGTGCAAAACAGGGTTGAGATCATCGCTCAATAAGATTGTTGAACGTTTTGCAGTTTGGCTGGCGTATTCTCAAAAGCTGGCAAATAAATTACCGCCCTCGCACCTCGAACAACCTTCCGGACTGCTTTGCATAGATTCGATCAGCCTCCTATCTTTCATTTGATCTCCCTTTTACTATGCCAAAGGAAGCGACACCTTCGAGGAACCCAATGGTACCGCCCCAACGCGCGGCTCGCCGGTCGACAGGGGCACGAAGACCTCCTGCGCAGCCCATAGGGACTTTGCCTGGAAATGAGGGCGGTGGTCGTGAACCGACGTCGCAACGGCCAATGAATATTCGAGAAGTGCCGGTCTGTTCGTTATTGTCACAGCTACAGGGAGTACATTCTCACTTACATATTCTTTGATAGGGACGAACCTCTCACGTCTCTAAAACCTCGAATCAAAACGACTCGGATGAAAATTTCGAGATCGTTCACGCTCACTGTAGGAAGGCAATCGAGAAAGCCGATGCGGTCAACCGACAGTTGACGACTCGTTATAATGAGCAGCGGCGTGAAGTTGCAGCCAATGCACAGCGGTTCAACAGGGAAAGAGCCGAGATGATGGGCAATTTAAAAAAGCAGTCGGACGAGGTACAACGCTTGAATGGAGAAGTTACTAGGCTAGAGCAACTTCTCGATACGGCCAACTTGAATGCCCGGAACTTGCTCTCGCGAACTGAACTGCAGCAGACGCTGGATGACATTCATACTGCCGCCAGGTCTTTCATGACCCATCTCGAAACCAAACTGGACGAGAACGAAACCAAAATTGATGAAAACGGAAACGCGCAGAATTTCAGCCAGCTGCCGGGAATAGATGTGACGGGCGACTGGCTAGACATAGAAGCGTTCGATGTGAATAATCCCGCGGAGACCTTTGCAGAAATGCCAGGCACCATGTTTCCCGCCTCCAACCTGGATGGCGTTCCAAATATCTAATCTGTTATGGGTTGAGTTGGTCAATCTGCCCTGAATGTTACTGTACTGGATCTTGAATGATCAGCTTTCGCTCGTGAGATATCTGAGCCTCTATCCTATCTAGATCTGGTCTGGGATGATACAGAAAGCCTAAAGGCTAACATATGCTCGCCCTGTCAGCAGAGTGATGTACATAGGCCTACCGCGTATTATTGTCACACAGCTTGCCCCTTCAGCGTGGTTTCTTCCGCATGACGCACCCCTCATGCACGCTAGTCCTGTCCTGCAAGTTTAAATCCACGTTGCATTCACAGACTGATATGGTTCTATAGCTGGCGATATTTCGGGGGAAATCGCGTGCACATACGGGAACAGGCCTGTGATGGCGCGGATTTGACCTTCTCAGATGGCGAAAACGAGTTCTGTTGGTACTGGGCGGACGGGTCGGCCTGGCCCATCCCGAGAAGTTGCGAGGTCTCAGACCTGGAACTTTTTCTCCTGCGATCTGCAGTTGATTTTCCTAACTCGGAAGGATGAACGGGGGGTCAGGAGAGCACAGTCTATCGATGATAGCATTCCAGCCTATCACGTCAGATACCCCTCTCCAGCGCGCTCGCCCCCTGTCCCCCCCGAGACCCCACCTTCGAGCCTTTGCTACGATCTTGTCGACTTGCCAGGCGTTCTGTAACAAACTCAATTTGAGTGGGCATGGTACGCATGCGACGGCGGCGAATACCCTCCAATTGCACCACATCGTGAACTACGAAGATGGAGCATTTTTTAGGTCGTTTAAGCGACGTGATTGAACCAGGGATGTAGAATGATTGGCGTTTGTACGCTGCTGGCTCCACCTCCATCGGCTACGCATGTAAAACCTTTTTGGTCTCGTAGTTCATCTCTTATGTCGTCTATAGCATGAATTGAATCTCCCTTCACTCTTCACTCTGCAAGCCTGTTGATTATGGGAGCTGTCCCAGTGGTGGCGTCGTCATCGTCATAGGAGCGGCTCGACTGTTCCGTTGCGGACTACTGGCGGGTTCGATAAAAATAGCGCTTAGGCGGATGATCCTCGAATGGTCCAGACCTGACCTCTTGTCCGGCATTCAATAGACCATGCGGCTACTGCGGTTCACTTTGCAGAGAGCACCCATTCCTCACGTAGCGCCTGACATGGTGGCAACTACACCTAAACTCACCTTGAATGTGAACCAGAATACTCGACGCCTCTACCACTCATGCGATACTAAAGCAAGACCAAAAATTATACTGCCCTTCGATATGGTCCGCGCAATAGATTTTGGAATCCCACTTGCCTCAAAAATCAGTATCCTAGTCTAGGATCAAACTCAAAGAAAGGATGATTGGCGGGGCGTTTTGTGAATTCAGAACCAACAGCGGCAACCTGCGAGAGGGGATGATTGGCTCCGCGAGAGGGGACGTCGTAGAAGGTGTTTTCATCTGGTATGCATGGCCGTAGATCGGTGGCACAAAATGGTGCGTATGGAAGGAAACCAAAAAAATCCGTAGGATGTCATTCGGCCCCATATCGCGATCTCAAGTTTTGTTGGTATCCAACTTAGTCCATTGGCTGTGGGCTAATAAGCCGCAGGCAACACCGACCAGCATAAAGCCTAGCTTGGGGGTGTGCGGGCGCCACCGAGCTAAACTGGTTTGGATCACTGAACCAACATCACATGGTTATTTGTTCCATGGCAATCTCTCTGGCAGGATGCTCCTTGTTCCTGGCCCCCCTCCAGTCCTAGTGCTGGGGAATATGTCTCCAATTCAGATCATGGTAGCCAACATTGTCGATTAGGTAGCCACCTAAAGTGTGAATATCATAGAAATAATGCTGTCGTCGTTCAATCAGCGTCTTGCACGCTGAGGGAGCCTGTACTTAGTGAACTCTACCGGGCACGATCGTACCGCTGGAAAATGACGAGCCAATAGTATTGTGGTCACCGGCCTCGATTGAGGCATCGGACGGTACGAAAAATATATATACAATTACTCGTAGAAAAGTCACAAACAGGAGTTACCGGCTAACGAATAAGACTGTCTCTACCCATCCCTTAACATGACATCTGCCCGTGGCACCTTGGTATAGAGAACAGCTATGATATCCTTCACCACTTTCTGAGGACCTGGTCAAATATCTTCCAAAGCTTCTCTGGCACTGGATGTCGGCGTCCGCGTTTTAGGGAAAAAATCCCCGTTAAAGCGTCATCTGGCGCAAGGTAAGTCAGTTCAGATCCATACTATCTTGCTGGCCTGCGCGTGTACTCACATGATCGTCGTTGGCCTCTGGTTAGTGATTCTTCAGGATGAAACTGCTGGAACAGGGTGGAGATCAAAAGCCGACTGTGGATGAGCCGAACCAGCAGACATTCGGAATGGTGATCATTGACGGGCCACCGGGTACTGTCGATAACCTCAAGCGACGCGATACTTCTGATTTGACCGTATTGGACTGCGAAAATATCTCAAAACACGGGTCTAGTACAGTCCGTCTGGTTTGCCCAGAAAATGAGTCCGGAGAGCACTGCAATATCGGAGAGGGTGTTGTTGAAGGAACTATTCTCCACATGCCAGACAGCTGCGGCGCAGGAACATACGCGGTTGCCCACAATCTTCAGCAATCTGAGAACCAAAAACTGCCTTCTCATATCAAACGATCCCTTTCAGGACCTTCCTTGGTATATGACCTTGAGTTGAGTTATGATTTCAAGCGAGTCAAGCGTGATTCTGGCGACATCTACATCCGCATTGACTACTCCAACGAGTTCAACTACTGGAAGTCAATCGTTCAAGGAGATCCCGTCAATGCCAAGCGCGATGGACAGAAAAGATTCTACAGTTCCAGCGCCGAAGATTGGAAGACGAAGTTTGACGCCATACGTGGCGTCCCCGGGCTCTCCTCTTTGCACAATGACAACTTCCGGAATACCATTGTTTCTAGCAAGGCAGACTCATGCAAAAACTCGAGTTGGATGAACATTGAGGTAGGCGGGGATGTCTCTGAAGAGATGAAATTTGGCTATTCATTTGTGGGAACCATCTCACCCACATTCAACATCGAAGAGGCCTATGGGTTCTTTGATTCCAAGCTTCTCTTCCAGGGCTCAATTGATGTCGATGTGCGTGGTGCCATTGACGTGGACTCCACTCTTCAGTCCAAGCAGCTCTTCACTGGTGCTATCACAGGATACGGGTTCAGTCACCCCGGAATCTGTGACATGGGACCTTCGTTCAATGTTGAAGCGAGATTGGTCGGGACAGGCCATTCCCTTGACGCCAAATTCACGGCCAATGTCATTGCTGGTAACAGTCAATACACAACATCCAATCTACCGCTCACGCTCGGGGGTTCTGATGGAGGTGTGACGAACGATGTTAGCAACAATCCTTTCTCGGGAGGTCTTTCTGTGGACCCGTCTGCAACAACATCAAAGAAGAAGCGAGACACTGGAACTGTGCTTGCACTTCAGCTGGCGTTTGAGAGTAAGATGCAAATCAGCCTCAATGCCTTCAAGTCGACATTGCTCAATCTAGATTCGCAATTCCTACATCATGTCGACAGCTTTATGCGAATTAAAGATGATGGGAGTGTCACGTGGACAAACAATCGTGTGACTTTGGGGGTTGTCGAAACTGGCGATCTTCCTGGTTGGGATGGTATCATAGATCATCAGGTTGGAAGCAACGGCCAGGTGAATATTTTGCACCAGTCTGGAGGCGTTGCTCCTGATGCGAACAGAGATACCCCTGATATCAAAGACGATGCACTCTTTGATTCGGAAGGTTTGGTGGCGTGCCTGGGGAACGCTTCATCCACCTCACTTGTCTGTTTGACCCCTGACGAGCTGATCAAAGCTGATCCAACCTTAGCGATAGACCCTGAAACTGGCAGTCCGTACTCCGACCAATACGGTCCTGGGTATTCCAAGCGGGATATTGCTGATATTTTCAAGCGCACCCTGGGGGGTCGGCGTCCGTTTTCTTCCAATGATGCAGCTGGAGGAAGTTTCAGTATTCAGCGGTCCCTTGCTTACTATTTCGGCAACAATGGTGCCGCCCTTCTCGCTGCGAACCCTAATGCAAGGCACCATGCTGCCAGTGAGCCACGAAACTGCGAGAATCTCGAGACAACCAACGATTCTGATGATCCTACTCTGCTGTATGTTTCTGAACATGGCCTAGAGTTGCAGTACCTGCCGCGCCTGCTGGACTTTTTCCAAACCGGGACGAACAGAGATCCGGACGGGACTGTATACAATTCCAACATGAGAGTCGTCCCCAGGGATCTTCTCGAACCAAACAGTTATTTTCAGACAGACTATTCTGTCTGGGATCCTACTGGGACTCGAACTGGAATGCCCAATGAGCGCATATGGCAGGCATTTGGCTCAGGGGATCACCCCGAACTAAATGTCAATGCCGAGCAGACATTGAACAGTTATAAAGCACGAATATTTGCTGGCACAGCTATGATGGCTGATACCACTTGGGTCGAGCATGGCTACAATGAATGGAATTTGCCGGACAGTGTTGAGCGAGTGGACGAGGCGCTTTCTGTTATAAACCAGGTACGTTTGAATGTTTTCGGTATGGTCGACTGGTATACGGCTACTGACAATGGCAATAGGCACCACAGATATTCGATTACTGGAATAACCATATCGGTGAAATTGTGGCCCAATCTCTGAGCGTTATCGAAGATGAGCTTACCTACTTCTCACAACGTGTCAATATAGTCGAGCCACACCGAAACCTTGAAGACTTGGGTGTGCGACATATGGAGTTCATGTTCTATGTAGTCAATGCTAGAATGGAACGAGTTGAGCCTTGGGTCCAACGCCGGCTTGCGGGTCTGCGGGACGTATGGGAGCAGGCTGAGCAAGCGGGGCACCCGGAGGCAGCCCAAATTTTAGAGACGATCGCAGCTAACAGCAAGGAGATTGACGACTCCGATCTCCTCATGGGGAACACGGATAGATGGAACGTGCCATCTCCGTGAAAGTCAAAGAGACAACATGTAGCGCAGATCGAATATATTCAAATTTCTTTTGTCCGCAATAGGAATAGACAGGGTTTTGGTAACCTATACCCGGTTCTTTGCCAAAGAACCGGGTAGTGATTGAGCAGTTATCCGTAAGTGGTGCTCTCAGAGAATCACGTATGACGTCAAAGTGCTCCGAGCTCAAATAAGACTCGCCTAGAGCCACCCCGCACCCCTCGGGTATTTCGTGGTTGCTTCTCATCTTCTCATCTTCTCACTCTCTCAACGTTACAGGTGACCTAGACCTGCCACCTCTCTGGCCTCATGATCTCACGGACAAACTAAGCCATGAGTAAATGGGCATCCCTCAGCCATGGTGGGCCACAGCCGCCACAAGAAAACATCGATAAATGGGAGAGAGCTGTCAATGAAAACGATCCCTCCATCCTCACCACCGAAGATCGTCTGAGAATGCTTCGCCGATGGCCTCTAGACCAAGCAAACTATTACTGCAACTTTTACGTTGAATGTACCATCGACGAGCTTGTTCAAAAGGCCGCCCGAGCGGATGGCCAGGAGAGTCTCACCGAGGCCGAGGCGATTATTGTTCTCAACACTCCTTTCGGCGGTTGTATCCCGGAGGATCAAAAATATCTGGCAAATCAAAATCGGTGGTCGCAGAATACAAAGACAAAGTTCGATGATGCCCTTGACTTGATTCTCACGGAGATGGATACAGAGAAGAGAGCGCGTGCGAATGCCGATATTGCTTTTGAGCGGATCAAAGATACCAGGAGGGCCGAATCCAAGAATTTCTCCAAAGATGAACTCATCAATATTGTGGGGTGCAATGCGATAGCATGGGTCAAAGCACTCGAAAAACATCTGGAAGAGCAACCCGCGTGGGGATTTGTGTGCATACGGACTTCGTTCGGCGATGACTCGTGGGAGAAGTTCAAGGAATTCTTCGTTCATGCTACTGAATCTGCACTGGTATTCCCTCGGAACTTCCATAGTATTCGCCCGCGATGGAAGATACAGTGGGTAGAGGATCCAGCTATGGAGAATGCCTCATTAATCGATCTTTGCAGGTAAGATATCCCTTAACTTTCCACCTTTTCTTACCCTACTTAGCTCTAGCACCCCGCTGACAGAAACTTCCTAGCTACTTCCGACGTCTTTGCGAAGAGAACAAAGTTGAACCAGGCCTCCGCCATGACGCATTTCTCTACGCCAATGCAGAAGCCATCGAGTCAGTCATATCTTTTCCAGTTTTGCCATCGCCAGCATTCGTCATGGCTGCAGAGGCAGCCTATGATGGAACAGGTCCAGAGCTTCCACTCGTGCAACAGGCCTATGCTGGCTCGGTGCGAATTGCCATACCGCATGTTTACACGACTTTCTGGGCGAGATTAATCTCGACGGAAGAGGACATACGGGGGAAATCATCACCCATGCAGCAGACCTGGGGGAAGATATTTGCGAAAGCACGAATCACCCATGAAAAGACATACCCAATAAAGTCCTTTTTCATGGAGGTCTAGGGCATCAACGACACCATAATAGCATGTCTAGGAGGAGAATTAGCATATGACGGAAGTGCGATAGTTATCGGTGCCGCGGTCAGGATCTTGTCATCACTTGCTCCAGATTTAGAATATTCTAGCCCTGGACTGTTGAGAAGAGGCATCGTTGCGTACGTATAATAGATATTGCGGCTACTTTTCAATAAATCCCACTTGAGCAGCTGTGCGGCAGTCGAACATGATTGAGTTGGGCTTTTTCATAGGCGAACCCCTAGCTGCACATGTGCGCAAGGAACCATACAGCCTTCAACCAAGCTTCGAAAGTTGGTTTTTGGCACTGACGTAGAGACTTTATGGAGTGACAGCTGGGGTGCTCGTCTGCCTTGAGATTCTGCCATAAAAGCGTTGTTTCCATTAGTGGGAGACACAGGTGTAAATACTCTGTGCAACCGTAGAGCATCATGTAACCTACGTCTAGGGACGTACTGCTGCCCATTCGCCCTGAACAAGTATTTCCCGAGCCCCAGACCGTATTCGATCGCCTTGCAGAGTACTAACCACGTGATGAGGACAAACAAACACATCCATCCGTGGGGTTTGCATCACTAAACTTATTAAGAGGGGCCGCTGTCGCATTCTCCAAATTCCGTATATCGCTTCGGCAGTTGGATTCTAAACCACAACCCACTAGGCTGAGTGCGGATTCGTGGTAATATCAACTTCGGCGAGGGGTCAGGGTAAATGAGATCTAATACTGTTACTACCAGTGTACCAGTAGTTCAAAAACTGTGGTTTCTTTTGGCAATTAAGTGCGTACATAAGGTATGGGAGGGCTCCCTTGATATACTGCGTCAAGACATTCCGTAAAACACAGCATACAAATCTGGATGTAAACCAAGCAAAGCTACGGATATGGTGTGATGTATATCTCGCAACGACTGCCATAACCATGATCTTCCCGAGGCACTCTCATATCTCAGAGGGATCACGGACAATGTTTTGCCTATTTGGGTCTAGTGGCACTCTCAGCGAGAACAAGAGACACGCTAACCATATTTGGACACCCAGTTCTCCAGCTCATACTATGTCTGCCTTGTTCTCTACTGTACTGTGACCAGATGCCACAAATTCTCTAAATGAGATGAAGCCGAAGGTTGCGTTTATCTATCAAACCAAGTTTGACGATGCTCCCAGGATCTGTCCGTACTGTAGGAAAAATGTCGAGGGAAGCAAAGGAGAGAAGGATAATGAGGTCAAGTTCTCCGGTCTCGCCCGAGGGCCCGGAATGGAGCGCAGGTGGTCCTTGCGAGCAGGTTGAAGACAGAGTCGGTGTTCCTGGGGATGGACTGATGTTCCTGGGGATGGACTGATGTTCCTGGGGATGGACTGGTGTTCC